CGAAATTCCCTTAAGGGCGAGTTAACGCGCTTTTTAACTTTAAACGCTCTCCATCCACAGCGAGTGAGCGCCGACTTCTGGGCTGTTATTAAACGAATAAAGAGTGCGGTAAGACTTTTTATTTGAATTTCAATTTAAAGATGATTTAATGAACTCGAGTTAGTGGAACACCAGCCGTCCTTCAGTTAAAATTAATTCCACCACATTTTTAAGCGCGCTTCTATTCCATTCTACGATTTAAAGTGTTTTCTTGGAAAGTTAATTAAAGGAAATCGTATAAATGCACGAATAAACTTGTACCGTCTGCCTTTTTGAGACGACAAAAGGACTTGAACGGCTATGTTGTGAGTATATCACGTTTCTACTCAACATTCCTTCGCGAAGTTACAAAGTGAAGTGAAATTTATATCTGTAGTTCCACGGCTCAGTAGACAGGAATCGCTCAGAAAGGATGACGAAGTACTCGTATTGCTTTTGAAACACCCTAAGCTACTTAAAGAATTTTCCTTTGACTTAATCGAAAATTTCATACAGCTACAACAAAATCCTTTTAAGAGAAATAATTTAACCATTTAAACTAAATTATTTTAATGTTAATTAGATAGAATCTAAAACGATTATTATTAATCTATTTATTATATAAAAGAATTTAAGATGCAAGATATTCAGAGACTTTCAATTCTTTGCAGGTTACAACCCGGATCCATCAAATTTTATGTACGATATAGCTCCAGATATAAAGACACACAAACTTGTTAAGTTTGATTCGACGTAAATCCCAACATCCAATTTTATTTATTATATTCTTTTCAAATAATTCCTAATCCACTTGAAATTTGGATGTAATAATATTGTCACGTGGAACACCTACTTCTTCCTAGTAGTTAAAGATAGGATAGGTTTCAGCGGTTTCAGGCTGTCATGCCATGTGATTCACGGCTGGGTTTCCGCCTATGAAAGACAATGAAACTCCGGAGAGCGGCGGCGGCGGTGAGCGATTAAGTTCACGCACACGCTTACACACGTAGAGAAACGGCCGTAGTCGTACGTTGTCTGTTTACACCAATTAATTGCCCCTCCTTTCTGATGGGCTCTAACTGCTGCCAGTCATGCTAACTGTAGGTGGCTCTAGAAGACTACAAACACACTAACGCAAACGTACTAACACTACAATGGTTCTCTTTGTTATCAAGCTTCATTTAGCTCTATAAATAGAAAATGAACTTTACGAGTAATTTATTTAGTTTGTCTTATTTTTTTTGTGTTAATTAATTAAATAAAGTTATTGGAAATTACTAGTACATTAAACTTACAGCACGATTATGAATCCGTGCTATAATATAGTCGTGCGAAATCTTGAACTACGACACCGGTGAGAGCAGTAACTTGTAATTTACTGCTAATTATATTGCCAGTCAGTGGAGGTGATGTTCTTTATGGCCCCGAATTTATTCGTCGGTGAATCCTAGGTAATATCACCACAGGTTCTCAATAGCTCACCTCACCGAAGGTAATAAATTAGCGGAAGTTTATTACTTTAGTGGGGAATAAATCACCAGATAATTGACAAAACACAATTCTAACTACCTATTATTTGCAATGTAATAGCAAAGTCTCTAGAAGTGGTTTATCTATAACTTTCAATAACAATTTGGAAATCATTAAATTCCTCAATAAACAAAAAGAAACCTTATACGCAACAACTTCAAAGCAATTTTCCACTCGATAACATGGCATGGAATTTAATTGAGGAGGAGTGAATGTGACGGAAAAGGTATTTTCCAGGATCGTCATTTTGTCTCAACCGTGTGTGAAAAGACACACGACAAAGAAAATTAAATCGATTCTAGAAATTCTCATACACCAAAGAATGAGAAAACAATTAGAGGAAATATTTATGTAATCTCCGATAACAAGAAATGCTTTTGTAACAAAGGCTATTTTCGAGTTGGTGATAAAATCAGGTAGATATTGCCTTTCTAAGTAAGTTTCGACGTTCACGTCTCAAAACGTGTTCTTATCTACTTCCTTCTAGCACCAATCTACAAATTTTAGACAGGCAATTATTACCGGGCGGATAAATGCCTTAATTTACCTTAATAAGTTGATAATAATCATTAAAACTTTTAATAACAGTTTCTTAAAGGGTATGTTACAATTGTTGGTGTAAACTGTAACCAATGACTATATAATTTTTAATAGCTTTCGAGTAGATACGTTTGGTTCGCTTCAAACCGGGCTAAATATTTAACCACCCCCGCAATTAGGGCAGCTATTAAGTGAAATGTGTGCGGTTTGCACAGCCGTGGGCGCAAATTGCTGATTGCACAGTCGAGGACCTGTGCCCCGGGTGGTACCGCAACTACCAAAACCGGCCGAATCCCCATTTAAACGGATACAGACTCGACCTATCTGGTCCAATAACGGGCTTTTCAATTGATATTAAGCGTTGACGACGGACATTAGTCGGCCCATCACTGCTGATGTTGATATCCGCTGACGGCGCGGGTTTCAATCAATTTATCGATTACGATTTATATTTATGGGCAAAAAATAATGTCAGATTAATTACCGAGGATCTCACAAATTCTGTTAGTGTAGGAAATAAATTCGTCACTTGTAAGTTAAACGAATCTGCGGAGGGGATTCAACTCAGGCGGATTCTAAAGCTTACCTCGGTCGAGGAAATAGTCAAGTTACCCGTTCCTCTTCCGGCGGCGGCGCGGTCCCAGGAAAATTGTTGGTCAATTTATTTCCCAAATTATACACGGTCCAGTAGGTGTACGAAATTTAATCCCACCACCCGTAGCCGCATTATGTCAGGGTCCAGATTGAAACGCATTTCTCTCCCTCCGAGAGTAATTTTCAGGGCGTCACCGATTTGCGTCGTTTCTCAACTTGGCAGATGTTTAAGATACAAGCATTTCGTATCGTTTATTATAACGTTGCGAAAATCGACGTATGAAGTCGGTATAAATTGCAGAGGTGTGCGTCGTCGTACGTTAAAAAGGCAAAGAAAGCGCCGACTTAAACCTTGTATATGGGGAATGCATGTATATGAGGCATTCGGTTCTGCAGATGCTTGATAAATGGTCGCGATAAATTTAACCAATCACAGGTTACGCACGTTACAAAGTCTTGCTTGGTAGAAAGTGCGGATATTTATTATCGTTGCATGTAAATTTGAGGTGCGTTTAAAGTTCTTCACCATATACAGCTATCGAGAATCTTAAATTGCTTGCAATCATCTACCATAGATTTTAAAAAATCTATAAGGTTGGGTTAGTTTAATTTGAAGTTGCGTTACTTATGGATTGTTTTAAAGAGGAAGGTTTTATCTTTAATTCGATATAAAAATTATTTCTTTATCGCCAAAAGAAAAAATAATACGATTTTTTGAAAACCTCGCAATTTTAATCCTAATCCAACTTATACTGTTAAACATAATCTTATCATTTAAGAGGTACATATATCGTTTTAAAGAGGTAGGCTTTATTTATAGTTTGGTGTAAAAATTGTTTCTTAATAACCAAAAGAAAAGCTAGTTGAATTTAACAAGGTAAGTCCAAAATCGAAGCAGGAAAAAAGAAATGCTACGCTAAACATTTATGTAAATCTTTTAATGACTAGTCATTTTTGAATTCTCTGTAAAAACTGGTTCTTCTGCAACAGTTTTAAAATTCTAATTAAATTGTTTTAAGTTGTATCGCATTCCTTATAATTTATGGTAACAAATATGTAATAAAAAATTAGTACAATTTTATTCTAATTTAGAAGTGCAATCTCGTGGTAAGTGTTCATTTCCCGTCTATATTCTGAACGTCTCAATGTGGCGGTTCGTCGATCGATCCTTCGAATTGCGGAAATTCGTCGAGAAACGGCATTAAAACGTCTACCCTTTGTTTGGATCGCAAATAAAGTGTGCAAATCCTTCACTCTTCTCGCTGAACACGTCGCAAGACCAAGACATTGTATCAGATTAGGAACCGTGAAATCGAATCTTGAACCGCTGACTTCTTACACAGGGATGCGGTTCTCTGGGATGAACGGTTTATGATTACAACTTCTAGACGTAGGAGAAAATTTTATGAAGGAAAACTAAAAAGAATCAAAATAATTATTTTTTAAACATTAGAAAGAGTTTGTTATTCTAAGACTTAACACCTTTTATTTTGTAGATGAATAAATAGATCTTACAGAGAGTCGTTAATTAGCGTTCCAACACTTTAGGTGTTTCTATTTACGGATTGTGTTAGAACCCGCGCGGTTGAAGCCTTTAAATAAGCCGAGACCGGGTTACGAGTACCTTTGATATCTTCATTCAATTCCCGTGTTGGATTATTCACGCTTTATAGCATATACGTCTCTCAGTCGGTATTTGCTTCCTTAATTCTCGGCGCATTAGAATAGTTTCGCTAATTGTACCCACCTCTCAGACGTACTCTAGAGTAGGTAAAGATTATGAAGCAATAATCGTTGCACCTTTCTCGCTTTAACTCGCGTGCAGATCCTCGCGACCTCTCCTCAGTTATTCCTGTTAAACCAACTCGACTACCGCTGGGCAAATAAATGACATGCAATTATTGCGAGAAATGTAAATAAGCCGGCAGTCCGCCCCAACGGTTTGCATAATACTGAGTGTACATGACTCGTTCTTAAACGGTTCTGGGTTAGGTATTGAGCCTTGACCTTTTGTTAGTGGTTCAGTCGGAGCGAGCTTTACAGATTTAACCTACTTATATTCCGCGATTACGATCGATAAATTGTAGGAAGTAATAGACTGTATTTTTGTGGCGAATACGATATAACTATGGTAAAAGAACATGCTAACTATTGTAGTGTACGTTTTCTTATCGTATAGTTTTCGATTGCGTGACCACCAGGAATAAGTTTTAGCAAACCAAGGTAATTTATATGAAAGGCATATTTTTGGACCCTTAGTTTTGGTTAATCAAATCGTGAATACATTATAATCGTGATTTTAAATAAAAAAACCCCAATTTATTACTAGATATTTATTACGGATATTTATTTTATAAAATATATTACACAAGTATCTACACTGTACAGGAATCCTCGTCTAACAAACAGTCAATAATACATAATAATAAATAATCAGCTCAGTTTTATAAACGACGATAAAGGAAAAGATACGAGAAAATGAAATTACAGAGTATAGCACCAGTCGAGACTATAAATTAGAGAAAAAAATAATTTTATTCACACTTATACACATTTCTTCATATACACGTCGTCATGATACTTACAATGGTTTTTAATGACAAAGGGGCATTATACAATGGGATACCTCTAACAACAGCGAACGGAAACGCTATAAATACGTAGATACAGAAGAGGAACAGAACACGTACCTATGTGCTTAATCTACTTGCATCACAGCTTCAGACGGCGGCGCAAACGAGGAATACCAAAACGACCCCAACAATTACGTAATGTGTTATGTTAGGGTGGTTTGCACGGGTGATTTCCTCTTTGAGCCACTAACACCAGAAAACAACAAATGAAAATCACTAAATGTGGGTCTTTAGTTGTCTTCATTTCTGAGGAAAGCACTAATTCCGTATTTTATTAATTGTTATTATTTTAAAAGTGTGTCCTTGATACACGCTATAGTAATAACCATATAAAAACGGATTCGACTTTAATTCAATCTGACAATATATTTTTTTTTTGATAATTCTTTCTTTTATCTTCTTTCTTGATTGATTATCTTCACAGCAGGCCACCAGTAAATTATATCAATAAAAGATGAAAACGAGTCTCCGACTAAAATGTACACATTCACAAGAAGTTTTTTTTTTAATGTTTTAAGTTCACAAAGTTATCACAGTTCAACGAATGATGGCAAAAATGAGTAACACAAGAAACACATAAATATAGTTCGTTACGCGAACGTTATCCGCACCAGATGCATTTTGTCTGCTTAATCCTAAAGATTCCTCCGAAGGACTTGAACTTCTCGACACTTTACTTCTAGCCGCACCTTCTATATGGTTACCATCTAGCTCCAATATAGGTGTTCCTCCGGGCCAACCTTCAGTACTATACCTTCGGTAACTGCATTGATCGGCGTTGCTCCGAACGTAAGGGCGCGTGATGTTCGGATAATGGGATTCGAGGGAGTCCGTACCCTGTAACAAGCAATTACTGGAATTAGGGACCGTAAATTCGGCACCAAAAACTGCAACCATCGCCGACAGCTTGGCGTAATCGCAGTTTTCGGCTTGGGGGGAACTTTGGGAAAAAGTTATCGTAGAAACGGCCACGGTTGTTGGCCCTGCTTTGCTCGCCTAATCCCCGACTTGCATATTAATACGCGCTCGGGGGCCAGTTTAACAATCTCTTTACTTAAGGCGATTACGTATGCTTTGTACCATCTGCGTCGAGAGGCTGGCTATATTTGAAGAAGAAATTACTCCATGTTGTGCGGGCATGAGTCCAGCTTGGTGTAATTACCAAAACTGAACTAATTAAGGCCCAAGCACATTATCTCTTACTAACTAACACCCCCCCCTTGTTAAATTACACAAAATGACGGAAGAACGTTGCGAATCTTCTATCCGCGGGGTTCTGTCTTTATAGGAGAACTTGTGTTTCTCAAAGGAAACTCTAATCGAGCAAATTACTTCGAGAAAACTTTTCAAATATTTCAAAACACACCTCTGTGTGCGACGTTCGCTGATGGAAATGAACAGTAAAACTGTAGAAAGATGCTAGAGGCGAAGCCAGCGAGAGAGGTCGGATTCGAACCGTTTGGGTGTCGATAATCGCTTTGAAACTCGATTACATTAATTGAATTCTGGAGCACTTCCTCCAACGTGGGTGGTGGAAAAGAACCCTCCCTCTACACAAAATTTCAACCAAATCGGATAATAATTTTCAAACTAACTTCCTTTTTATTTAAACAAAAGCATTTATACTAATGAGAGAGTATTCTCGACTTATCATTAAGAAAAGACAAGGTATGCATATAATAACTGTTCCAAAAAGACAGTTTCAATATTCAAAGAAATCCAAATGAAATGATATATCATCAAAGATATTTTATCATTGTTGAAAGGTTTTGAAATTAAGAACCACTATTTTCCGATGGTGACGAAATGGGAAAACCGAGAACATTCCCATCGCAAATTTCGAACTTCCCAAGAACCCCGGGTATTAAGTATAAGTCCCAACTTACCGGTAACAATTTCGATTGCGCCGTCCGGCAGATGGGCTTAAAGGACCCCTTCATGGTAGCTTCTTGGAAATTGTGGAAGTGATTGTCCCAGTCGTATGATACGAGTCTCGACTCCAAAGTCATACCCGCCAATTCCGGTGGTGCAGCTATTCGGACAGGGTTAGAACCACTGCAATATTAAAACGACAATTGTTATGAACATGGAATGAAAGCCACAATGTATTAAAGCTAATTTGGTTATAGAATTAAATTGAAACTTACGGTATTAATTCCTGGATACCCAGCGAATGTAGAACTGTCGGTAAACTGGGTAAACTATGGCAAGACGTCAAGTTTCGCTGTCTGGGATAGTACAAACCCATGACGAGACAGGTTTCCTGTCGGTTCGTGTAACCTCCGAGGGTAATGGCCGGCCTCCCGGAACTGTTGTACGTACATTCTGCTATCAAGTGATCCCCAGGGAGAATCCTGACTGGGGCTCCTAACCGCCTATATTCCTGATAGTCAGAGTCCAAGTTATCGTCCGATGCGATCGGTGCCTGTTCAGTACCACCCCGAACGTGTTTCAACGAGACCTGCCGTCCTATTCTGTGGGTCTTCATCACCACTGCAAACATATTGATCCCGCCACCGGGAAATGCCTGTTTTGTGCACTCCGGAACACAGTGTCCGGAAGAAACGACGCGGTGTTGTCCAGGTGGGATGATGTGTCGCCAGTTTGGGTCCATTCCTACAAAGAACAAATCATTTTAGAGGGAAACGGCCGTCGTGGCATCGCCTTAATTAAGCCCCGGTTACGCGATAAACAGGACTCAAGGTTTAATTAAATCCGCTGTCACTGGATATTTGAATTCAACTGGAATAGTTAACCAGACACTTGAACTTCGACGATTCTGGCTAACCGTCCACTGGTGGCGGCTTGTCGAGACTTGAACGAAGTTTAAGCGTTAGAACTACATCAAAGCCACTACACTTTGATTTCTCCAACGAGCAATGATCTAATTCTATTTAATCCATTTTTATTTTCTCATATGTAGCGCTTAACTTACCTATTGATATAACTCCAGCTTCGTGGCGTCTAAGTGTGGGTGTATAATATAATCGAAGACCCGATCCATCTAAATTTCCCAATGTGCCATCTGTTGGACTAACGTAATGTGTTTCTAAAAGATAGAATCTCGATTCTAGGGGATATCCCGTTTCTGGTGGAAAGCTAAACCCCTCTGAACCCTTCGCCCAACTGGCTACAACTGTACTACAAGCTAATGGTTGTACGCTGGCATCGAAACATTGACGACCTGAGCTATCCGCCAAAACATGAACAGATGAGGTATCTTGACATTCATAAAGAACAACATGTTGAAGTCCACCGAATCCTCCCGTTTCTTGTAAGGGTTCATACTGGAATTAAAAATAAAATATAGGGGTGGAATTTATTAAATCCAGGGTGAATAATTTGTCATCCCTCTGTTTATTTAAGTTACTTGTCATCAAATCAAAAGGGCAAACTACATCGTTGGATGTCCCTTGAGACTTGAAGATAAAATAAATAAAGTTCGTAGGTAGGTACATAACAGTAATGTTTGCGTAAACGACAGAAAAAGCCTCTCTTTGAACTTGGTATTTTAGCTTTATACACAATCAATGTTAAAGAAGCTCAAAGCAATACTTACTCTAATTAAATGATGTCTGTCCGCCAAAGGAGGCAATCTCACCACCCTACACCAGTACAAAGTGTCACCCGGAGCGGGAGTCGGAACATCCTTGTTAGTAATCTCCCAGACATGCACCTTTTCTTCGGGACTTGGGGCGTCTTGATCGGCTCGCTGGACTAGGTACAGAGATTGAATCCCACGGGATTCGAGACCCCGGTCGGGTAAAGAACCAGGAGCGACAGCGCCTCCAATAGGTTCTTGCTGGTGGAAAGCCCACAGTATTCGCATCGTGTCGTTCTAGAAAATAAAAAGGGTCACTGTTAAAATATTTCAGCTATGTCACCCGTGGGCATTCGCGCGCTTTACTGGTTCCTTGAGACAGTCACGGAATAACAATACAATCCATTAGGATGCTGTGTTACTTTTACGAATACGGTTTCGATTCATTTTAATAATTAAGAACGTACAATAAAGCACCTTTACTTTAAGTGGTAATTAACAATTAACCGCTTGAAATCAAGCAAGAGGGTTCTACCCCTTGCACTCTTTGCCTCGTTTAAACGAAACAGGTAAGAACATTATATCGTTCCTTTCGCACGATCATTCACACACACACACACAGGCCGACTACGGCGGAGGTAATTAATAATACGTCTTAAGAGAGCGGTAAAACGCATTAAACTTACACCCACGCGGAACGTGTATACCCCTTGACAGGCGTAGACGCTTAAATCAAAAAAGGGGCGTGGTGCTGGTTCCATTGTTCCTTGGGAGCCCAAGACGTCTACCTATGTCGCAAAGCCACGTTACGGCCTCAACGCTGTCTGAATACGAAATGCACATGTGAAATACGTCTTAACTGCGTACGCGTGCAAGAAGTGTCCCGCGGTGGCGGCCTCGTTGTTTCCGTTAATGTTAAGAACTTGTATATACGGTTTAATTATTTAGGTCGCGAGGATGGCGTTATTTATTCATATCGCCCAGAGTCAACTTTAATTAACTTCGAAACGCGGGAAACAGACGTCAGAGATGTCGCTGTTCTGTGCTGAAACCGGCGTGTTGTCAAAGCTTAGGACACACTTCACCCGTTCTTTGTCAGAGGTTCACCACGTGCTCTACAACGGCTGCGATCGATAAATAACGAAGACAAGAATTTGTAGAGATACTAAAAAGTTATATAATATTATTGCAGCCAAAATTTGTTGTGAAGTAGTAATATTAAAATATTGAAATCATTTATTGATTATTGCGACTATAATTCGTTAATAAATAACATTATTTATTGTTTTAGTTTATAGAAGAGAGTGCCCGGGATACGTTACACCACATTTGCTTTTAAAATTGTTCCATTTTAGTTTTGTTTATACATTTTGTTATTGTTTATTTTGTTTATATTTTTGATAGTTTTTGGAAATCGAATTTTTCGGTATATTTATTTAAAATGGGAATAAACGGGATTCAGCATTCAGCATTGTATCAACTCAAATGATGCTTCATTACAATGTTGATCAGGTTTATGTCAATATGAAAACTGGTGAGATTATTGAATTTATAAAACGAATTGTATGAGATTATTTTATACATCAGCAAAGATAATTTATAGTGATTTCCAAAATTTAATAATACCACGGAGTGTGTTGGCGATTTTAATTAATATGCATCCCGTAAAATTGCAATAATTTATGGTTAGGGCCATTAACATAATTCGCGATGAGTTATACCGACCGTCGCGCCATGAAAATGAATAACGCGTTCCATTAAAACGTCCAAACGGCACGATACCGTAATTGCGATGATATCTACGTTTCGGGATTTGCGCCACGACGCTTTTTATCGAAAGTGTTAAAAGCTGAGTCGCGTCCGAAATGTTTACATTCCGTGAGGGCGACGTCGCCGGCGCTCCTACGGTCATTTGTCACCGGAAGGGAATGACTAAGCAACAAGATATTCCACTCGGCAACTGGTGCCTTTCCTTATTTCTTTTATCTTTTTGGAGACGCCTCCATTTCTTTTTGGCCTTCCCTTTTAGAAAAGCAGATGCTTGAAGGGGTTACTGGCATCTTAAATATACCCCTAAATCGTTTGACGTTAATAGCTACACCAAATTTATCATGGTCTAACCGACGATTTTTATATCGTATTGATTCGTATCCTAGTATAGCAAATTACTAATACTTGTTGTTGACACGGAGTTGGCTGATATATACCTTTACGGCCGCCACTACCTAATCGATAATAACCACGTAAATCACGGATTTACCACGAATAAATATTTGTCTTCAAACTATTACTACATGGCGAGAGCGGTACAAAACGACGTTCCAACGCAAACAACACTCATTAGAACAATCTCAACTGGGCGCAAACTCTAATTAGGAGCAATCCTGCGCCCGTGTTTGGAAGTTAAATCGAATAAGCCAAGACCGGAACCCGTGAAAATAGTGACCTCGTGGATTAGATGGTCTACACAGGTTCTCGTTTTTTGATTGCTTTAATTAGGGTACAAATGGAAAATCAATAACGTATTAAGAAAAAAATGCGTTAAAATTCTTCTCCGCAGTTCGTGACTTAATAATAATTATTTTTAAACGCACCATCTGCTTGGAGGCTGAATCGGGGTCGAACCGAGTAACCGGTACCGACGAACACGAAGACGACCAGAATTCTACAAGTTGAAGGAGGAGGAAGAAAGAACAAGAAACAACTTACCGTTATCGGTATATCGTGGTGATCGCATGTGTCTAACTGCCTCCTGAATCGCAGAACGGTGTGGGTGCTGTTCTCGTAGCCGAGAAGCAGTTGGTAGTCCTGGCTGGAGTCCACTTCCGGTTCACGGTCCGCGTTGGTTACGTGACGGTCCTGAAACGCAATGTTCTTCGTTAAACACCATCGTGGCTATCGCAACTTCGCCCATATCTTCTCTTTCCATATAAGGAAGAGAAGACATAAGAGGCGTTGATATTAACGACACGACGATAAATGCGTCCCACATGTTCGCGCCGGGTTAACAACCAGTTTCCTTATTAAGGGACACCGGTAGGAGAGTTCCTAATTCCCGGGAATTAGAACCTCGTCCCGGGGGTTGGGGTTTATGGGAAAGTGGGATTATAAAATGGGACGGTTGCCGTCTGCGCGGTTATTCACGAGACGCCCATGTGTGTTTTCACATCGTTAAAGCGGAAAACGGCTGGTGAAACTCAGTAAAAGGTCGTTTTTATATTCTCGTAATGTTGGTTTAAGGTTTCAGTTAGAGAATGTTTAATTTACTTCGAAAAAAAAAATTATTCGTAAAACTAACTCGGTAGATTTCCTGCCGGGCTCGTAAAACCGTCGTCCGAACACAACAATTATCGTTACGGCCAGGAAGATGTAGGTTTAGCGAAATTCGGTATAATTTGTTAGAAGAGGAACAACTCTTTCCGAATTTATAGCTCCCCTGACGAGGAAACACGCGATTTAATTATCAAGTGGGGATCATAGAAAAAGTTTTCGACAAAAACAGAGAGGCGACAAAGAGCGAGAACTTTCCAACCAATATTAAATCTTTCGTTGTTGCCGGACCGTTATGTCCAATTCCAACCGAAGTTGCACGACCTTTACATACATGGTTTATGGACCAGACGGCAACGTACTCCGCTTCGAAGAAGCGAAATAAAGATTTTATGTATTTCCTCTCCTTCGTTTTCTTTCGCACTTTATATCGAAATATATTAATTTCTTTCCGATTCCCTTTAATCAAAGATATACCATCCAGAAAAAAAGAACCACCCTTCTATAGAATAATTTAATCTTTAATTTAACTAACTGTAAACGAAAGGGGCTTTAAAATAAAGGGCTCCTTTGACTTTGAAATATGTATAAAATTACACTGGAAGTGAGCTAGCTTTGAACTTTCGCAATAGCACAATTTAATTAATGATTGAAATTATGGTATGGATGTATCGCGTGCTCTTTTGCCCCATCACATTAAAATAAAAATATTTAAATTGTTGATCGAGGTCATCGATTTACTATTAAAGTTGGTTCTTTTTCCGCATTACGTTATTTTTGGCCCCGTCCTTATCGTTAACGATTAGCGTAAATAATTACACGCAAAATAAATTCGTCCGTTATCAACGCGGTAAAAGTCGCAACACGGACGAACGCTTATCCGTCGTGGACGATAAAATTCTCAAGTTCCGTAATTACGCCGAGTCGAGGACCGCGATAAATTAGCAGCTAATGACGCGAGAATTATCTCCCTTTCTTGGAAGAAAGTTTTCAGTTTGCGTTGCCGCTTTACGGCGCGTTCGCCTTCTACGGAATTCTAATCTCGTACCGCGCTATTTATCGCAATCCGGCCCACTGTCGTCGGCCAATATCGGCATAGAATCTCCAGGAATTTACCCGTTCAACGGTTCTTACGTTTCAACTTAAGCGTAACAATCAAAAGATTATTTTGGCATAAAACATCGTCGAGAAAATATTCGAAATATTTTGAAAAATATTATTCATCCACATAACTAGTATTAGTACAGCAAATATTTACAGATTCTACTTCTGGTTCTTATCAAGGTTTTCAACTAAATCTTCAACTTATCTCAAAGTTCAGGTAACTACTAATAAATAACTTATCATAAATGCATATGCAGAGGCGAATGAAAAGGATCATCTTAATACCTCAATTACTTTTAAATTAATAAAAGAATCCTCACTGCCCAAAAATATCAATAAAATCTTAATGTAACCCATAAGAAGTTAAAAGAGCGGATAATTACAGTTATTGAAAATGAAACTTAAATCGATCATATCTGTCTTTGGTCTCAATGTTTCAATTAATGGCATCAAAAACTTAGTAAGATCTAATGTAGAATTGTTGTTCTTTCATGTCCTCCAACTCAAAATCAATACATCTTACGTATGCTATCAATAACTGTAAGGCATAATATGGTGATTCTTCCAATTAATCAATTAGTTGTAATTCCAGGTTATTTAAAATGCCAAGTACTCGTCTGCTAACTGTTTCAGCAGACATAGGAATGTCATTAATTTGCACAGCATATTTTTCTCCAAACATTTCTCCACAAACTTCCTTGAAAGATGGTTTTATATTAGTACTTCTCTTATATTACACGCATTTTTCGTCGTAACAATATTCAATGCTACTTAATAACGTTTCAAGTATTTCCAACATATTTAGTCAAACTTGATTTATTCGCGTTCAATTCCTTAAGTTTTCTTTTAAAAATTCTGGTGATTTATCTTTGTAGTCAACATGATGTCTTAAAAGTTTATTAGATTTTATAGATGAGTTTGCTAGTACAGTTCGACAATGTATTGTATACATTGTAGTAAATCAATATTATCTTCTTGTAGACACGTAGAGCCGAAATTAATATATTTATCTTGATATTTATAAACAAACTCCTCCACTTTTCTCTTTCTTCTTAATGGGATCGTCGGTTCAGTTGTATCGTCGGGAGCTGTCAACTCAGTGTGTTGAATATTCTTCGTTGGAATATAAACAAAAAATGTGCTTTGCTTACTCATTCTCAGAATATAATATTGGAAACGTGACGTGTCAGAGCGAAACCCGTTGGAGGTTATTTTGGAGGGAATCCCCGAGTAACTCAGAATTCGCTGGGTAGTAAACAAATCATATCAACGGTTATCGGCTTTCATTGTTTTGAATGTCAATTCGAAACAATGATTGCGATTCGCTGCTCTAGACTTTAGTTAACGGTAAGTGTAGCTGAAAATGTGACACCATGAAATTGTCCTAGTAAAATTTACGAGTCATCTTAAATACTTTTATTGACAATTTCGTCGAAATTTTATTGCCCATTTTAACTGACGTTTAACGAGGTTATTTTATTTTTAAACGTCGGATCTATTCGGTTGCCTCAATGTGTTAAATGCTTCAAAATCCTTTAGTGTCTATTTAAGATTATAATAGACCTTAAAATTAAAATTAATAAAATTTATGTCTGCCTTAAAATAAATCAATCTTTTTTCCTTTTACCAACATTAAAAAAATATAGTGAACCTTCCAAGTCGTTAAACATTAATCGGTGATTTATAGGCGTTTTCTATTATTGTGTGGTGTGTGTGCCTTTGTTGGATTTTGAACATAAAAAGAAATAAAAAAAGCTATTGGTACACTTTTAATCCATCTTTACGATTCCATTAGAACAGCGTGGAAACCAGCTTAATCGAATCGTGCGGAAAGGAATCCTGCTATTACGTGTAGCAAAAGTATCGAGGTCGTCGACAAAATCCATTCGGGTAGAAGAAAGAAGAACAAAAATGGGACGCTGTTATTCAATCCGTTAACAACTGTAACGTGTACGTATTCAATTCCGGCCTAATCCGCAACTGGGCGGCTACTTTTACAAACAATTCGAATTAAATCATCGAGTTTTCCACTTCAAAGGCCGAGTCGCCGCTAATCCCCGTGGAACGAATTAAATTCGGCTCCCTGGCACACTCCAGTTCAAACTTTGAGGCACACAAATTCCAAATAACTTTGGATTTTATCCATATATCTCATGTTATCATTTAGGTTATTATTAATTATATTAAAAATAATAATTCGCGTTTCAAAGCGAATTGAATCACGAAAGCAATGACGATAATAAAGTGCATGTTCAGTTAATTGCGCTCATTACCATTTTAGAGGCAATGGTTTAATTTTCAATGCTACTGGCTGAAGAGGTCGTGGTAATTAAGACTGAAGTAAAAGAAATCGCTCTGCATCCGTTTCGATTTAAAAAGAGACGGAAAGAATAACTAACGCAATCAAAACTACAAGCAAGCGATACCGCATTTCTAATTACGTCACGTACCACGTTCAAAAATAGAGACTAATTAAGTTGGCAAGTCACGAAAGCCATGGCGAGTTCTAAACGAGGTGCTAGAACCGTGGTTTTCCCCAAAGGAGAACAACGCGTCTTTAATTTCGTGGGCGATTGGGATGCGATAACACTTTACCCTCGCGCTCATCTCCGCTGGTCTGGAAGAAACCCCAATTAGCTAATTAAATCTTGCGTGTGTAGAAAAAAACAAGTTTGAGTTAAATTAACCAATTTAGAAAAGATTTTTGTCTTTAAATAAATGTAATGTATAAACTGTAGGGGTTGATCGTAATTAATTCGGATAAGATTTATGTGCTTAAAGAATGTCTTGCCGCAGTCTATTATTAGTTAAAAATCGACGATCGACATTGGAAATCCATCCTGTAATCAATCCTTCGCACTCCCTCGGGTCTGTAACTTAGCCGGTGTCAATTATCTTTTCACCCACGAATGAAGGAAGACCGAGGGTTTGTGTAGACAAAAGCGAGCGTCAAGAAGACTGTAAATTAAGGTGTGTCCTTAGCAGGACCGCACACATGCCGAAGATCAGGCTCAGATACGCATGTGGCGACGTGCAAACGTCTCTCGTAATTGGATTGACTATAAACATTGTTCGTTTCTCCGTAGTGGTGGCCCCAGTACAGCACGGATCTCCTTGTATGGGTGTAATTAATATTGCAAACTGCACCACGATTCTATGTGCAACATGCACCCCACATTTTTTTTTTAATTTGAACAAATAAAAGAATGAGTTTCTATTCGTGCTTGTTATTGCTCGCTAATGCTTCTTATTTCATATTGATATCTTAATTTGTAGGATTAAAAAAAAGTACCTTCAGTTCTTAGTACCAGGTTTAGATACGCATATGGCGACATGTAAACGTCTTTCGTAATTGGATTGACTATAAACATTGTTCGCTTCTCCGTAGTGGTGGCCCCTGTACAGGAAGGGATGTCCTTATACGGCTGTAATTAATATTGCGAACCGCACCACGATCCTATGCGCGACATACGCCCCACTTTCGT